AATGTGAAATGACCCAATGACCGGTCACTAGTCATTTGGGTCATTTGGGTCATTTCAGGTCATTTACCATCCCTGGACTACAGTAATATCGTATAATTATTTCTCCGTAGCGTGAGAAAAGGAAATAAGTATTATTCGTCGTCTTGTATTATGTCATGATATTTACTATAATCTATCATCAGTGGAAACCAAGCAAATTATTTAAGTAATTTTTTTAAACTTTAAATTAAATATCTCAACAACTATTAATCAAACTTAAAAATTTATTTTATTTTTCTATATAGTTATAGAATTAAAAAAAAATTCATCAAGTTTGATTAGCTGTTGAGATATTTTAATTTAAAGTTAAAAAAAAAAAACTTAGAACAAATTACTTGGTTTCTATTGACACCCCATATGTTAAAGACATAATGAAAAATAGGATGAGACAACTACTTTTTTAACCAGGAATAAACCATTCTACGAGAAGTCATCGTCGAAAGACAAATTTAGTATTAAGCTTCACTTACTGAAAAAAAAACTCATGATGTACAAGGAAATATGGATGTAAGGGAGGGTCGGGTATTCTGGCGCACTTAAGAGTTGCATATATAAAAATTTTTAGGAATAGCGTATTTATTTACAAAACTTATTAAAATAGATTACTCAGCTAAATAAGAAAAAAAATATTGAAATATGAGCTTTCATAATCTACTCAAAAAATACTGTTTTTTGCATTTGGAGGTATTTTGGCGCACTAAGTTCATTATGTTTCGTATTGTACGTATTATTGCATCCTTCCTCCGGACATTACCCAAATGAAGAAATATATTATAAAAATTAAAAGAAATTTAGACTTTTACTTATATCTTGTGGTTTAGCAATTAGAGTTAAAAAAAAAATTTTTATTATTTGATTCGTCTCAGTAAGACGAAACGAATGATACCAAAAATTTTCGATTCTGATCAGTGTATCGCGAGATAACATCAAAAAACATGAGTGCGTCACAATACCCACCTGTGCCAGAATGCTCGGCCCTCCCTTATATTTCGTAATCAATTTAATATCTTTTTCCGTTTTTTGCACAGGCCTATAGGACACTCTTAATGTCATTTTCCTTTTAGTCGTATTAGTATTTGGTTACATGCAATCATTGTGGAAGCAATTTTATGGGGCCGAGAGTCCAATAAAGTAAAAAGTAGTAACGATAATCACATGTCTTTCCGTTATCTATTTATTTAATTTAATATAAGATTTTAAGATTGCTAACCAAAAAAAAATTTGTATTACACTATTACTATTACCAATGAAAAGGATAACCGACAGAATTAAAAAATAACAGTAGCGGTATATTTTTTTAGTTTTTAGTTGAAGATAATGAGTATTGTACGTACGTACGTAATTTAGGGCAAGTCAATATACGTAAATTAGAACGGTATAGGAAATTTCTGAAAAGTAAGCAATGATTTAAAGATAGATGTTAAAAAAAACAACTCTTATAAAATTAGATCAAACTGGAAATAATACCTTCACTTTAACAAAAAAAAACAAATCCTATTTTTTGAACATTTAGTTTTATAAAATTCGGTATCAGCAATTGCTTAATTCATAACATTTTTCTATCATACGTAAAAAAAATTCTTGTGCAAAGCTCAGGACACAAACTAGTTCATATAAAAATAATAATTTACCCGGTTAAGCCGGGTAATCTAATATCATGATAATATGATCAATATCCATATAAGGTATTACTATAAGGATCACAGATGAAATTTTTAACTATAAAAAAAAATACCCCAAACTTTTCGAATCCAAATTTAGTCACTACGTGTTTAGCTTTCTTCACGCTGTCGAAAAAAAAATGGCTACTAAGAAAGGTTCGTTTTAAATATTTAATCTTTACATAATTGAATTTTATTAATTGAATTCTATATACATTTTCTTTATAATTAGACGTCTATATTGCCGCAGTCGCAAGAACACCACTTGGCGGTTTTAATGGTTCGTTAGCCTCTCTTAGCGCTACAAAATTAGGTTCAATTGCTATTGAAGGTGATAATTGATAATTAATTATTAATATGCAAGATTGTTTGTATGAGAATATAACAGTCAAGATTGAGTGATAGTATGTTAATTTTACAGCTGCCTTAAAAAAAGCAAACATTGATCCTAGTAAAGTCGAAGAAGTCATTTTTGGAAATGTTCTTTCAGCTAATCTTGGTAAAATATCAATAATTAAAATTTATTGTATTATTTATTCATTTTCTTTTTATCATTAAACTCATTTCAATTTTCGAAAAGGTCAAAACCCCGCTCGTCAAGTTGCACTAGGAGCTGGTATTCCAAATACTGTCGTTGCTACAACTGTTAATAAAGTTTGTGCATCGGCAATGAAAGCTGTAATTTTGGGTGCTCAGACGATTATCACTGGTTGTGCCGACGTAAGATACGGTTTATATAAGTTATAATAAATAAATTTTATCACAAAATTCTAATCTTAAAGAAACTTTTTAGATTGTTGTTGCTGGTGGTTGTGAATCTATGACAAATACCCCATACTATGTTCCAAAAGCAAGGTTCGGATCTAAGTATGGAGATCAAACTCTAGTAGATGGAATTGTTAAAGATGGTTTAACAGATGTATATAATAATTACCTTATGGGTATGGCAGCTGAAGAATGTGCTGCTGATCATAGTATAAGTCGAGAAGAACAAGTATGTTTAATTATTAAAAATAGTTGTGTAAAATTTTCTTTTTAGGTGTGAAGTCAAGAGCTTAATTGATGATTTGGTTAGGATGATTATGCTATCTATTCTTATCAACGTGCTCAAGCAGCATTTGCAGATGGACACTATGTTGATGAAATTGTTCCTGTAACTATATCAGGTGGTAAAGGCAAACCTGATAAAGTTATTACTCAAGATGATGAAATTACTAATGTAAATTTTTTTTTTTTTTCTTATTTCATGTTATATAAAAGAATTTATGATATAAACTAATAAAATTCTAATATATATTTAGCTCAATGCCGATAAACTACGTGCAGTGCGTCCAGCATTCAAAAGTGAAAATGGTACTGTAACTGCGCCTAATTCTTCTCCTTTGAGTGATGGTGCAGCTGCAATTGTTTTAATCAGTGGTGAAAAAGCTCGCGAATTAGGCGTTAAATTGGTTGCTAAAATTTCTGGATGGGGTGATGCAGCTCAGGTGAAGTTTCTTCACGATGAATAGAGAATGACACTAATAAGTTATATAAAAATTAATATATAATATTTTATTTTACCTATTTTATATATCCAAAGTCACCTTCAAAATTCACTACAACCCCTTCACTCGCAATTCCAAAGGCGTTAAAACATGCTGGTAATATTCCGATTGACCGAGTCGACTATTTCGAAATTAATGAAGCATTCTCAGTAGTAGCATTGGCAAATATAAAATTACTTAATTTATCCAAAGAAAAAGTTAATGTATTTGGAGGTGCTGTTGCAATGGGACATCCGTTAGGATGCAGTGGTGCAAGAATTATTTGTACCTTAATTAGCGTGTTAAAAAAGAAAGATGGAAAAATTGGTTGTGCTGGAGTTTGTAATGGTGGTGGTGGTGCTAGTGCTATGGTTATCGAACTTGTTTGATAATTGAATGTAAAGTAGATTTTAAAAGCTATAAATGTATTTATAGATACAGTTATTTAAGATTCTAATTTAAACTTCAAACTAAACTTACTTATTCGGATAATAAACGCCATTAATTGCGTGATTTTTGCCATGAATATGCATATCAACTACTGTGGTTATCGTGTTTCAAATACTTTATCGCTTAATCGCACCATCGTTAAGGATGATAAAAAGAATTTTTTACCATTTTAAACCGACAAAATTTGCAAAATATAAACTTAGACAATAATTTCAAATTTTGTAAAACCCATCACATTAACTCAAGCTGATAAAATGTCTATACTTCACGCTAGGTGAAAAGGTATTAATTAGAGATTAGTTACTGTATCATAGTAATAGGAGATGATGTGAAGAAACATATATAAATTGTTATGAATGTATAAAGAGGCTGATTATTTTTTGTGATTAAACTTGTTCCCTCAATGTGACTTGCTAGTGATCGAGATGTTGCTCAATCATTTCGATTAATCGAAATAAATTGAAGTGACCTTATAATGATTTTTGTCGAAATTCATTGTATCTAACTGTCATACAAAAAATAGAAGATTTATTATGAATAATATTTTATCATATAACACTATAATAGAAATAATATTGAAATCGAAGGCAAGACAATTTTAATATTGAACATTTATTAAGATACAATGGAAACTTCACATAAATCATGTTAGAGAAATTTAAAAAATTTTATTTGTAATTGACAAATTTTTTTATTTAAATTGTATAAATATATACCGTATAAGCGCATAATAACGCGTTATTTCGGGACGCGCATGCTAATTTTGAAAAAAAATTTCAACTACTTTCTTGAGACATCATAATAGAACTAGAAAAAGTTAGTTTTTTGAGGTAAGCCGAATAAATTCTAGATATATTGTTAATCATATTTAATCATATAATAATAAATATGTTTCAGATTAAGATGTTAAATCTAAGCGTATTATATACAAAATTTATTCGAAGATTCAAAATAGTACGTGAATGATAATCTGATACATATGGAGGGACGCGTTATTTTGAGTCAAATATGCTATTTTTAAAAAATATTGAAGTTTCGAAATAACGCCCATGTGCGCTTATACGGTAATGTTAAGATGTTTTTAATTAAAATTTAGTAAAAATTTTAAATATTTTAAATGTCGCGGCTGATGCTGGAAATTTTAATTATTTTAATATAAAATTTTCAAAAATTTTTGGGGCCTTTGTTAGGGTTTTTTTTTAGGGTTTGGTTAGGAATTAGTGGTAGTTTTAATAATAAAAGAGTATAAGTAGATTTTGGTAGGGTTTTTATTTTTAAATCAGGGTTCCTAATTTCCAGCTTCAGTCGTTTCCAACTTCAGCCGCGAAAATAAATGTGGTGGATTATGCTGAAATTGGATTATATGCTGAAAATTTTTCATATTTTATTATGAAATTGCAGAATTTTTTTAGGGCCTTTTTTGTAGTCTTTTTTTTTAGGGTTAGGTTAGGGTTAGGTGGCAGGGACTGTCAAAAATTTGGATCCAAATTTTTCCAAATTTTTCCAAATTTTGGCCTTTAATTGTAAAATTTTCAAATTTTGGTACCTAGCCCAAATTTTTTCAAATTTCGGCCCATAATTATCCAAATGATATCCAAATTTTGGTCGAT